CTAAAAGAACAATAAATATAGTAAATAATATAGTAAAAGGTAAGCAAAAAAACTTACAATACTGTAGTGTACCTCAGCAAGTGTTTTGTTTTATATGTCTCATTCTCTTTGCCTCTTTATTCTTTTGATAACATAGAGTACTGGAGCCGGTTATTGTGGGATAATCAATTGCTGTACCTACTTTATATTTATCGAATTAGACATATTAAGTGTTTTTATCAAAAAGTAAACAAAATAAAAGAATAAATTGACCAACTATCTACCTATTTTGTTTAATATAGATGCATGTTTATAATGAAAAATTATCATGAAAAATTTAATTTTAAAGGCAATCGTAAGTCAGAATAAGCCTTCGTACGAATCAAACCAATGAAATCAGGAAAATAAGTATAAAAACATATACTATCTCACGTTTAAATGCGTGTGTTACACACATTTTTTTATTTAAATGAAGTATGTATTTGTCTTCCATATTTGAAGTCTATTATATCGAGAGTTTAGTGTATCGTATTTTAATGTGATTTTTTCCATTATCCATTAAGCAGTCTATTCTACCATACTGGTCTATTTTGTGCATGTATTCATATCTATAATTTATTTTTGCAATAATATTCTTCTAAAAACGTTAATCACTGAAATCTTGTATACATTTCTTTACAGGGCTATAAACATCTAAATAATCCAGAACCTCTTCAATGATTTCCAAAACCGAAAAGAATAAAATTATTGAATAAACAATTTAAAAATCTTGAAAGAAGTAAAGTGACACTAAGGCAGGAACTGAACAAACTGAATTGCAAAATGATTCACAAAGACGTAATCTACAGTATTTTTAGGTATCAAATAATTTAATCTGAAAATTGTGGTCATATAACTTATTGTATGGTCATTCCAAACCTTTGATGAATGAAACAAGAATGTATATAGAAAGAAGTAAATATTGTATATATGTAGGCTGTGAACATAGTGTGCAACGGAATATTAATGTCACTCTTGACATTTCATGAATGTGAAAATCGGATGTTATTTTACAATTTTTATTTAAAAAATTTGCGAAATTTTACAAGATATTTATTACGTATTTTTAATCTATGCAATTGTTTTTGATTGGATTTAAGAGTCAGTTGAGTCTTGTGTTAGAAAATAAGTGTCTGTATGCGTATATAGATTATTAATATAAAAAATTTGGTAATATAAAAAAGTACGTAAATGTATGAATAATGCAATAACTGAACTCTTCAATATGTATATACTTTCCATACGCACACATGCGCATGCGCATATGGTGCGCGCGTTAACACAAACACGTTAAGGTATATAGTGTTACATTTATTCAAAATATATTTAATATAAATTATTTAGATAAAATATATAACACAAAGTCAAATAATAAAACTTTCAATTATGACATAGTTTATTAATTAATATTTATCGAATAAGTCTTATTTTGAAAAAGTTGGCCTTTATACTTTAACTTCCATTATTATATTTAATACTGGTATTTCAAGGTATCAAAAATATGAATTTACATAAAACAATAATAATTGGACTAATAAACAATTTTGAAAATAACCATAACTCCA